TCGACACACACAAAAACACACACACACCCACACACACACACATACAGACGCACCTCTGCCACAAAACTCTTATTCGATTTTTAGCCCTGAATTATTCCCAAACTGCAGGACAGGGATTCATTAATCCTCTCCCCCAGGCGGAGGATGCCCTCCTTTTCTTTTCCCCCCTTCTTTTCTTCTCTTTCACAATTCCATTTATTTCTCTACAGGCTAATTGGAGTGCACACACTTGTGCACACGTACAACAGATATTCAGGTGCTGGAGCGCGCGCACACACACACACACACACACACACACACCTCCTGCAGAGTGGTGGCTTGTCATTGCTTTTCAGGAGTGTGTGTTCCTGGCTAAGCTCTATGGATCACATTTACACAGACACAAGATATCTATAATTGGGGCTGCAGGGGGGGCTGTTCCCCTCTTTGTCCCCAAAGTAGTCGAACCCCCCCCCAAAAAAAAACCCAACCCAGCACCATCATGTATAAAATATGGTCCTTCTCTCTTCTCTCTTTTACACCTACTGTATGCTGGTCTGATAGTATGTTGGTCTCACAGGCGAACACTTATACATGTGCCCTGACGCTAGAGAGCTGCTTTGTGTGTGTGTGTGTGTGTGTGTGTGTGTATTCTCACTGCAGTGTAGTGATGAGTCAGACAAACTTGCTGATGTTAATGGATTGTCTGTGTGAGACAGAGAGCAATAGATCACCCTAACACACACACACACACACACACAGTAAACCACAGCATTTCAGTGTGTGTGTGTGTGTGTGTGTGTCTGCAGTGGTTGGTAAAAATTGTTACAATTTATTTACAAAAACTTTATGCTACAAAAACTGCAAGTGCACACACATTTGTGACTGCACTGCTCCCGACTTGTGTGAGTAAATCTTTCATCAGCCTGTCCGTACCGTGGCTCATGGTGTAGTTCACCGTCCGGCCACCGTAGTCCTCGTTGGTCACACGTTGGTCATGTTTTAGCTCGGTCTTCCTGTAAGGACTGGATTGATTAATCCCACTTCCTCCTCCACCATATACGGGCAAACGAGTTTGGAGTACAACCACTACTGGTTGGCTCACTCTGTTACCATGACAACCCCTGTTCACTGGAGAACCCCTCCGCCACCTTGCTTCCTCCATCCTTCCCATTTTCAAACCGCCAACAGCATCAGTAGCATTTGATACACGCTGAAATACGACCAGGCAGAAGAAGGAGAACAGAGAAGGGGGAAAATGTGGACAAAAGACGGGGGGGGGGGGGGGGGGGGGGGGGTCTCTGCAGACAGAGCACAAAGAGAGGATTCATGGTCAGTCACATACACTCCCAGAGAAAAAAGAGGGGAACAAACAAGGGACTAGAAATGACAGATTAAAGGCTGAAATCCAACGAATAATTTACACAAAAGAGAGTGAACAATAATAAAAGGAGTAAGTCGGAGCGAGTGGGGGCAGTTCGTATGAGGCTGTGTTGGTTGAACCCCCCCCTCCTCCCAAACCCCCCACCATCTCCACCACCATAAAAAAGACAAGGCCACAGCTCTTAGCCTTGACTCTAAATAAAAACTCTCTTTCCGTTCAATGCCGAGGTCTTCATACAAAGAAGTAATCACAGTGGACCGTTTTGTTAAAGGCTAACAGGCTCGGAGCACCTGAAGCTAGTCTTATTTGACTATTTACTGCAAAGTGTTGAAGGATATGATGAGAACTTTGGGTAATTATTCATGTCAGATGATACAACAGTTGATGTCAGTTGTTACTGTAAAACAAAACAAACGTTTACGTTCATGCTCCAAAATTTTTTAAAAAAAGTAACTGAACTGAACAATAATAAAACAATTTGTATTTTCAAAACAAATCTGCACGTCATGTTTCACCGTCAAGTTTCTCAATAACAGGCTGGCATTTACATGTGTGAGATCTGTGAACGGATTGGTCCATTAGCAGTCTGACAGTTGACAACTAGACTGGACCTTCAGTTCACGTCTGTCAGTCAACGACCGCTGTTCTGTTTGTTCACAAACAACCATGATCGTTTTTTATTTTTAAATTCCCCAAACTATGTTTCAACCCTGACACTAAATGACCTTTGACTCTGACGTGACCATGACGTGTTATTTTCTGATGAAGTGATTTAGTTCACGCTCTAATCTCGCCCAAACTCCAGATGTTAAACTTTCCTGCCCTTCATCACACTCCATCAGCAGAGGCTCACAGTTCTGTGCTGCGTGCTGTGTGATGCAGGGTGGAGCACTGAAGGCTCTGAGTCAGTAAATCCTAAGCGATAAATAATGCGCTTACACTTCATAATACAGAGCTGCGACTGAGTCGGGCCGCGTTGGCGTTTCAGGACACTGACCTCGCGACGAGGACGTGGAAAAAAAAGTCCTTGTGAAATCATTAATGCAAAAACAACCAGAGGTGTTGTGGTACACCGTCACGCTTCACACAGATGATTCTCACAAACTCACACACCACGTACTCAAGAGATGCCATAATTGTTATTGTCGTTGTGTACGTGTCGTCTTTAATGGAGTCAAACAGATGGAACTGTTGTCACACACTGGTGTTGTATTGACAGTAAGGAGCAGGAGGAGAATAACGAGAGGCAGAGATCAGAGCGTCAGGGCGGAGATGAACAGCTGCAAAGAGTAAAATGAAAGCTTTCCAAGATGGTGCTGAGGCCTGCTATGACGTACGGGTTGGAGACAAGAGGCTACACTGAAGGTTACACTAATGATGCTGAGACTTTAACAAGAAGTGACCAGGATGGACAGAATTGGACGTAAACAGATTAGATGAGGAGAAACGTGATTATGGAGACGGAAGATAGAGGACCAGGTACATGGTAGATGAAACACCGTCTCCTTCAGAGTCAGAGTCAGAATTACAAAGAAATGAAACCAAAAAATGATGCATTTACGAACTGGCAAAAAGAACGTTAAACACTAATTATACAGATTTAACTACCGTTCCTCAAATGAGTTAAATACATATTTAGCCGAAGAAAACACCTTTACTAAATTAAATTCAACATTAAATAATACTTCCATACATAGTATGTTCTATATAGAAGTACACTGTGGTGAATGTTGATATTGTAGAGTCCATGGAAATGGGTCAGACGGATCAGACGGAATCAGACGATCTGACGAGAAATCAAAAATGGTGGAAGACCAGTTCAGGACGAAGTAATAAAAATAAGACTGATGGATAAAGGTGATAACACACTGCAGTGTTTGAGTGATTATGATGACGGAGCTGATGTTACAGTGTTTGACACAGATACAGATACTATTCATTAATCTCTCTCCCTCTCCCTCCCTCTCGCCCCACCCCCCACGCATTGCGTGTGCAGTAAATTCACTCCACCAGCTACAGTGTAATTGAAGGAGTATTTGTGTAACTGATCAAATATTGTTTCACTCATCAAACTATTTGCATAATTCATTCCACTAACACATGACCGTAACGGCTGTCGTTTCAGTCCATCCACAGGCAGATGAACACATTTAGACGCCAGTAACGACTGTTGGTCAATTAGCTAATGGCAGCTCCTCTCTCCTCCTCCTCCTCTTCTGTTGTTCCTCCACAGCTGATATCATCTCCACTGTTGAGTTCAACCACACAGGAGAGCTCCTGGCCACAGGGGACAAGGGGGGCCGAGTGGTCATCTTTCAGAGGGAACCTGAGGTAAATGCACGCATCACTGCTTCAACTCGCACACGCTGCAGTAAATCTGCTCCACATACACTTCAGTTTGATGTATACTGTGACGCTCCTGCGGGGGTCAGAATTACTGTCTGTCTCTTACTGTTGTCTCCGCCTGAGTCAGACCAAATCAGGAGACTCTTTTACGTATAATACAGTATATTTTACTTCACAGAGCAAGACAGAGCCCTTTGCCCAGGGTGAGTACAATGTCTACAGCACCTTTCAGAGCCATGAGCCTGAGTTTGACTATCTTAAGAGTCTGGAGATTGAGGAGAAGATCAATAAGATCAGATGGCTGCCTCAGCAGAACGCTGCACACTTCCTACTCTCCACCAATGGTGAGAAACTTCTCCCACATCCACCTTGTAGAATGAACCACGTGTGTTTTCATCGATGACCTCTGACTGACAACATGAAATCATTTGAAGTTTTATTTCTGTTTCTTCCGTGTTTTAACAGTCAGGGTAGAACATTCAAGACGTTTGTTTACAGAGCATGTCGTGCTTCCATCCTCCTCTGAAGGGGGTGCTATAAATGTGGTTTATATTCCCAAGAAATGTAAATAAATAAAGAAAAGAAAACGTAGTATATTCATACAGTAGTCTCTGTCTCACCACGTTTTCAATTCTGTGCTTGTGTCAAAATCGGAAAATACATAAGTTGTCCTTGAGAGCCTTCCTATTGATTCTTTTCAATACTGTATTATTTATGATTAAGAGTATAAAATATGTAAGACCTGCCTCAGCGGATGGCTGATTCTGCCGTCACATTGGTTGATGATCTGTTCTATAGGAAAGTGTTTCATTTATTCTTATCTGTTCTGATCCGCAGATAAGACCATTAAGTTGTGGAAGGTGAGCGAAAGGGACAAGCGGCCTGAGGGGTACAACCTGAAGGATGAGGAGGGTCGCATCAAGGACATCTCCACTGTGACCTCCCTACAGGTATCTATCTATCTATCTATCTACCTATCTATCTATCTACCTACCTATCTATCTATCTAGCTATCTATCTATCTATATATCTATCTATCTATCTGTCTATCTATCTATCTCTATCTATACCCTTTGTCTCTCTATGACTGTACTGTCAGACATCATGTCTCCTTGTCTCTGTCCGTCCAACCATCCCCCCGTCTTCCTTCTTCCTTCAGTCCATCCCTCCATCCACTCACTATGCCTAAACGCATAAAAGCACACACTAATGAATACAGTAGGTTGTCCAACATAAGTGGGTCAGTGGGTACAGATGTGTTAGCATGTGCAGAACTGGGTCAGTGGCACAAAGCTGCTGTACGTGTGTGTATGTGAGAAGAAAAAAAAGCCTTTGATGCTGTAGAGGGAGCTGAGCCATGTCTTCACTGGATCCAGACAACAAGCAGTGCACTTTTCTTTGTTGTGAATTCATAGCCATCACTAATGCTCTCTGTATTAAAGAAATCTCTGCCTTTATTTCCAGGTACCGGTCCTGAAACCGATGGACCTGATGGTAGAAGTGAGCCCCAGGCGAGTGTTTGCAAACGCCCACACCTACCACGTCAATTCCATCTCCGTCAACTCCGACTACGAGACCTACATGTCGGCCGATGACCTGAGAATCAACCTCTGGCATCTGGACATCACTGACCGCAGCTTTAGTATCCTTCATGTGTTTTACAGGCAGGTTATGAACAACCAAAAATATGAAGGAAAATCCAAGGACAGAGATGAAAATGCACAGACTAACAAAGAGACGGAGGAATGCTGTTATGACTCACACACACACACACACACACACACACACACACACACACACACATAACAATTTCCCAGTTGTGAAATTGCACTTTGTAGTGTAAATAAATTTACACAGATATATATTCTGTGGGGGGAAGGGAATATTATTCGGGAGGAGTGAAAATACCACTTGAATAATGAATAATTCAAAAGCTGCATAAATATTTCATTCCTTTTCAGTTGTAATCCAGCTTAGCGGGGCACACAAGCCAGACAGGATTGATAATATTGCAATTTATTTGAATGTGAAATTACCTTTCTCCCCAACAATCACCTGAAGATATATTTTATTGGTCTGTTTTATTTCTGCTATAAATTATTGACGTTGACTTGTTTGTGTCTACAGTCGCACTCCTTCATGTTTCTCCTTTAAATATTCACGTTTGTTGGCTGGTCATCAAACCTCATGAAAAGTTAAAGTTCTAGTGTCCTTAATGAAACTTCCTCACAGACATTGTGGACATCAAACCGACCAACATGGAGGATCTGACGGAGGTGATAACGGCGGCTGAGTTCCACCCTCATCACTGCAACCTGTTTGTGTACAGCAGCAGTAAAGGCACGCTGCGCCTCTGTGACATGAGGGAAGCCGCGCTGTGTGACAAACACTCCAAACGTGAGTCACCGGCCTGAGTATCCTGAGTATCGTATTGTAAATGTAACACATTTACAAAGATACAAAACAGAACAGATGTACACACATAGAAAACTATGATGATGATTTTTTGTTAGTCACCAAAACTATATCCATTCTCTTGCTGTGCTAAAACTAAACCTGTTTTCCACTGTTCAACACTGACAGAAATAATAGTCCCTCCCACTGACAGACCCCTCCCCCTTGCTTTATACAAGGGATCCAAGCTGTCAATTAAGTCTTTTCATTCTTGCCCTAATCCTGAAAATGTTAATCCACAGATTACCCAGTAGTTTTCAGTCTGTTCCAATTGTAATTTTGTGTAAATATTACAGCAAAGTCGCTGCGTCATTGACCAGACAATATTGGACAATATTCTTTTTTAATTTGCTTGTACCTCATATAAGCAGTCCACCAACAGTGTGCTCTGTGTTTGTGGTCATATATATATATATATTCCCACATGTGGATCAATGGCAATCTGAAAAACAAAAACAAAAAGATCTCTGGATACCCGAGAGGGATAAAAAAACATCTTTTATTAGCTCAGTAAAAATATCTTACTGAGCAGATGGTCAAAACTGGCTTTGGAATGCCTGTGGATTTTACTTTTGAAATGAAAATACTTTAAGACTCAACAAATGATTTTGGTGCAATAGACTTTTTAATCTAAAATGTCTGTAGATACAATTAAGATTTGGTTTTGCCACCATATCCTGACATACAGTAGATGCCTGGTTTCATTACCTCTAAAATGCACACAGAAGATTAAAAAAAAACTTTTACTAAGACTGAAACTCATCAGCAACTGTTCAGACTAACTGGAGATATTAAGTCTCTATGAATGAAGTGATGTTTGACACAGTAGTGTAACACCTTCTGTGTTACACCTCCTCATCTGTGTTAGCGCTGTTCACACTCCCAGCCTCGTCTCACCATTGATGACACCAATCTTCCTTCACCAGTGTTTGAGGAGCCTGAAGACCCCAGCGCTCGCTCCTTCTTCTCTGAAATCATCTCCTCTGTGTCGGACGTTAAGTTCAGCCACAGCGGCCGCTACCTGCTCACCAGAGACTACCTGACCGCCAAAGTCTGGGACCTCAACATGGAGAGCAAGCCCCTGGAGACGTACCAGGTGCGTG